TACTAGAGTGTCCACCCCGGGGTATTTTAGCGATTTTTTCAAGTATTTTACCCCGGGGCAAATCTGAGAGTTCCCAGTCAGGATATAAAGCTGCAAAGGATAGACTAACCCTTTTATTGGGCAGCAATGCCAAAGGAAATTTGAAAGCCTATGTTGGTTTATCGAGCTCAGAATCCAAGAGCTCTTAAAGGTATAAATCAAGGACAATTACCAATAATATGGAAATATAATAAAAAAAGCATGGGTAACTAAAGCTTTGTTTGAAGAATGGTTCGTCAAGTGTTTTTTTCCGATGGATGAAGGCTTTTGCCGAAGAAGAAATTTAGATTTTAATGCTTTGCTTATTTTAGATAATGCCCCTGGTCATCCTTTTGGTCTCGATTCAATGTACAAAAATATCCAAGTGACATTTTTGCCGCAAGCACTACCTATTTATTGCAACCAATGGACCAGGGCGTTATCGTGATCTTTAAAGCATACTACCTGAGAAAGACTTTCAAGCAAGCGATTCAAGCAACATCTGGAGAGAATTCTATGACACTAGTTCAATTTTGGAAGAAATTCAGTATTAAGGATGCTATTGATAATATCCATCAAGCATGGAATGAAATTTCAGTTACAAATATGCAAGGTGTTTGGAAGACAGTTCTTCCACACTGTGCACAGGACGTTACAGGCTTTTCAAAAGATACAGAAGAGGTCATTAAAGAGATTACTCATATTGGAAAAGAACTTGGCTTCGCTGAGACTGACGATGAAAATGTGCAAGAATTGCTGGAAGTTCATTCAGAAGAACTAACCAATAAGGGTCTTATAAATTTGGACACTCAGAGAGCATATGAAGACATTGATGAATGTGAAGAAATCTTACCTACCCGCCAGCATAAGAAGATGACGCAGAAGGAATTAGAAGAACTTTTCACGGTTATTGAAGAATTTAAGGGAAAATGTTTAGAAACAGACCCTGATGAAGATAGAAGCCGTCAAATTTGTAGAAAAATTGATGAGTATCGCCAATTATATGAAGAACAGAAGAATACGATGCGATAAGCCACTCTAAATAAGTTTTTCATAAAAAAATCTGATCAATAAATTTTAATTCATTGCATTTTTTTTCGTATTTTCTTATATACCTATACTTTGATTAAAAATACGCAAAATATAAATCAATTGAGAATGAGAATGAAAATTGAGGTACGAATTACACGATTTCTTATAAGTTATTACATTCCATTAGTGCGTTTTCGATTAGTGCGGCTCTTTTAAAGAACACATTAACCGCACTAATCGAGGGATTCCTGTATTTAATAATTTTTAATACCGGATATCAGTTATTGTTACGACTGTTGCCTAGATTCCTATTCTGTAACGACGTTCCACAGTTAAGGAATTTTTATAGCTCAGTACATTGTTGCCCGATGAAGGCCACGATAAGAAGGCCGAAATCACGCATATAGAAATATTTTAACGTAGATAAAATTCTGTGTATAATTCTACATATTAATTTACCTACGTTATGAGTCCTAAACCACATTTATTAAGGGCTAGTTAAGCATGATGGAAAATATCGCTTACATTTTGTGATACTCTTCCTGAGTAGGCGTTTCCTACCCTCTCGCGTTTTTTCGGAAACTCACAGCTGTACTGCTTGTTCAGAAATGATTTTTTGTAAAATGATTGAAGAAAAATAAGAATTACTAGACCACCCGTGACCCGTTGGGTCACGCACTATTCAAAGGTTATGAAGAATTCAAGCTAATTTCAATATTGCACCGAAATGAAGGTTTATTTTGAGATAATTTAATTATCTATTTCAATCTATTCGTATTATTCATAATTCAAGAAAAGATATTTGATTTTTGATCGGGAGTAAAAGGAAAGATCATTTCATTTTTCAAAAAAGTGAAGTCAGAGTTTTCAGGTATTGTGATGAATTAGTTCATTAAGTTGTGGTCTTTCCTCTTAAACCTTTTACAAATAAGAAACAGTAACATTTTATTTTTCTTCGAATTACCTTCATAACCAAGACATGTTATTCAGAATGTCTTCAAGATCTTGTTTTTGCCATCTTACGCCTTTTAATAAAGGTCGTTATTACCCATGCAGCGAGAATACAAATTTGATCTTTTTTCAAATAAGATGTTTTATTAATTTGAAATCAGAAATACAAACGAACAAACCTTTACATATAATAATTTCCGCCAATAATATGAATCCTAACACTTTTATACGCGTGTTTTTTATACCTGTTGTTACAAAACTGTTTTATTAAACACTTATTACCTAACAATTTGTTGTACCAAGCGACAGATGGCAGCATATACTTCTATATTCTTATGGCTTAAGGGCTATAGCGTAAAATTATAGGCCAGAAATTTTGGCCAAATTTTTTTGAGAAAAAAATAATACCCAGGTGCACACCCTCAGAAGGTCTATAGTATGCGTACAAATTTTCAGATCTCTAGGATCTTTCCTATTGGAGCTATGGCGCTAACTGACTGACACACACACATACACACAGGCTGTTTTATTAGTTCAATTAGCGTATTGACCGTCAAAAATGACCCTCACCCCATACTATACCCCAACCTCACATTTCATAGCTAACTGAAATAAATAAATTTTGCGAAATCAAGCTTGACCAACA